TACTTTAGATGATACTAATTATTTAATTGATTAATTATAAAATGTAGAAATTAAACCATTACTTACTCCTAACACAATTTTATCTATTGTTTATTATAGAAATAATGATAAATTAGCTGAATAATCTATTTTAGATATTGGTTCAATTACATAAATAAATCTCTAATTCTAAATTACATCATAATATGTAATTGAAAATGATGGAAATGCTATAATTGATTTAAAAGGTTATTATTATCTGAATCCTGATGAGACAATAACATGCACATAAATTATTGATAGTAATTCTTACTCAAAAAATTGTGAAATTTTATCCTATATTTTTTAAACAGATCCAAAAATCAATTACATATCTAAAGTAAAAATTCCAAATATAATTGTAAATGGAAATAATGCAATTAATATAGTAATTGCTGGATTTAGATCTGAATTATATTCTGGATAATTTACTCATCAATTAACTGTTCAAGTTTATACATTAAGCAATTAATTGGTGTCTACAGGCTATAATGAATTAGGAAACACATAAATTATAAATAAAGTTGTTTAATTGAATTAATTATCTATTAAAGCTGATTCATAAATCACTGGTAAATTAACATAATATACTATTAAACATACTCTTAAATATCCTATAGATATTAAGTCTAGCAATTCTTATCTTGAATTAATATTACCATAAGATTTAGGAGTGGATAATTTGAATAGTTGTTTAGTAACATTAAATTCAAATACACTAGAATGTGTCATTAATTCAAACAGTATTTCTATTTTTTCTAATATTAATCCCTATTAATTGAATTAAGATTTAATAATAACATTAAATTAAATTAGAAATCCTTATTCTACTGCATTAACTAATAATTTTTAATTATAATATTATTATAATAATATTGTTTCAATATAGAGCACTCAAAATTATTAAGTAAACCAACCAAATGAATTATAAGTTTAAATTGATAGAACAGTTAAGTTAGTCAATTAAAATTCTTAATTTATAGTTTCAATAACATTAATGAATTAAGTATAAAACTTAATGTATTTAATGAAATTACCTACAGATTAATATATTCCTGATTAAATTTCAATAAAATAAGGTGATAAACTTTTAGCTGCTTTAATTGATTCAACTGACAATGATTTTATAAGTATAAAATTCAAAGAGGATTTATGTCCTTGTTAGAATGGGTAGTAATTAAGTTTTAGTATAACTGGATTCCGAAATCCTTTAGCATCATCTAATAGTGTTGCTTAATTGTAACTTTTAGATGAATAAAATAATGTATATGAAGAGAATAAATCAATTTAATTTCCTCAAATAGAATCAGGAAAGATTGCTATTACATCAATTTCATAAAGTGCTCAATAGTTGAACTAATAAAATATTATAACCATTACTATTACTAATGATACTCCTTATATTAATTCTATTCTAATTATTGAATTTAATCCAGATAATTTACCTTTCATACAGAATAATAATATTATCATTACTTTAAATAATAATTAGATATCATTCACTATTGATTAATCTAAATATTAAATTACATGTTAGAATGTAGAACTAAAAGCAACTAACACAATAAAAATATCAAATATTAATTCAATAAAATGGCTTAGAGCTACAAATTAATGTTCTATATCAATATCATCATATGTAGGTAACTAATTACTTGATACAATTTCTTAAGCAAATTGCAATTCATTAATGAATTTTCCAATATAAAATTTTGATTCAAGTATATAAAGATCGATAAGAATTCTTAATTAAAATACTGATTTAAATGTTTAATTTAATCATGAAATATCAAAATTTATAATATTAAAGTTACCACTTATTGAAATAGTTAATGATCCATCCTTTAATTATGATAATAAATTAATATTGAAATCATAAGTTACAACTGATTCCAAGTATTTAATATTTTCCTTTTAGTTTGATAACACTAACATAAATAATTAAATTAATTTTAATTTATTAAGCTTATAAAATGCTAATGCAATTCCATAATCATAAATGAATTATATCATAGAATTATCATAAGATGGATCAACAATAAGTTATCAAAGTAATAATTATATTACTCCTGAATTGATTTGCTAAGGTTCCTAATGTTCAAATTAATAATTAATAATTTAATCATTTAGTAAGAGTACTTCATTAATCTCTTCTTCAACTGATGTAACTATTAATATACAACTTCCTTCTGAGTTGAAATATTTAACACTTTTAGAATTATAAATGACAGAAACTTCTATAACAGGATAATCAATTTGTTATTTAAATAATACTCTTGTCAATTGCCAAAAATTATTAAGGGATCAATGTACATTGTGTGATCAAACATAAATTTAATTAACACTGAAAAATTTGGTTAATGCTGATCAATATAATTAATTAGAGAAGATATGTGTAAGCATTTAAACAGAATATGAATAAATTTCAACATGCTCTAGTTTTTAATTAGAATATAATTATTTATTAGATGTTAAAAATATAAATTGGAATTAAAATACATTTTATAGTAAGAATGCACAATTAGAATTCGATGTATTATTCTCATCACCTTTAAATAATAAATACTAGAATTATTTGAGTTTTACAAATCCTAATGATTAGATTGATTTCAATAATATTAAAGTTACATTTAATGACAATCAAATCGATGGTACTTATTAAAATAATTTATTAAATTTACATATATGTGAATAAGGTTGTTAATAAAATACAAAATACAAAATTTAAATATCTTAAATTTAATTCAAAGATTATAAATATTCAAAAAATGATTAAATTATATTTAAATTGATTAGAGCAAATTAATAATTAGAATAATCAAGTAATTTACAAATATACCCAATAACACTCAATATTAACTAAATTACTGTGACTGCTACAGCTTTAGATTATGTATAATTAAGTTATTAATTAACTACTTTAGTTCCATATTAAAGTTAATCAATCATAAAATTTAAATTTCATAATAATAATTGTTTTTCATAAGGAAAGATAGAGGCAATTCATAATTCAACATGTTCTTTAAAAAATAATGCATTAGTACAAGTTTAACTTATATATAATAATTAAATTACTCATCAAAACAATGAAATGATTATGTTGAATGTAGCATCTGAAAATTGTCCAACTCCGTATTTAATTTATTAAGATAGTTGTTATTTAAAATGTCCAGGTTAAACATATTAAGAAGAAAATACTTGCATACAATGTGCTTATGAAAATTGTCAAACTTGCAATAAATCAGAATGCTTATAATGTAAATTAAATTATTAATTGAAAAATAACATATGTGAATAAATATGTTATGTAGATAATTGTTAGTAATGTAGTTTTAGTGAAACTACTTAAAATTGTATTTCATGTGTAGCACCATTTGAATTGTATCAAAATTAATGCAGAATTTCAAATGATTGTTAAATTGAAAATTGTTCTGTTTGTTAGATAAAAAATTAATAATTTAATTGTATCTAGTGCAATCCAGATAAATATAAATTTAAAACTAATTGTTTAGATACTTGTCCAACTGGTTATTATAATAATGAAAATAATGATTGTGTAATTTGTTAATAAGGGTGTAGTTAATGCAATTCTTAAGAATGTTTAGAATGTTAAAATCAGTATAATTTGACAAATAATACATGTTAATGTAAAATTGAAGGATGTTAAATTTGCAATTCAATTGATGTATGTGATAAATGTAATGAAGAATTTGGTATAAATTTTATGAATAAATGTCTTAAGAATTGTCCTTCAGATTATTATGAAAAAAACAAAACATGTTTATAATGTAATTCTGAATGTAAAACATGTGATATTAATGGTTGTATTTCATGCAAAGAAAATTATTATTTGGAAGGTACTAAATGCATTCTTAAATAATGTACTAGTAATTGTTTGAGCTGTGATAATAATTAAACTTGTAATTAATGTTCTTCTGGATATTAAGTTGATGACAAATTAACTTGTGTTCAAATATAAAGTTAACCATATTTTGGAGTGGCCTCAAGCGTATTATTAGCTATATTTGGCCTTGCAATTTGTTATTAAGTTATTTCATTAATTTCACCTCCAAAACTACCTATATTTCCATAAGTAATTCTTTCATCAATTTTGGCATTTTCATTTCTATAAACTATAAGTAATTGTATGTTATTATTGTATGCTTACATCAATTAGATATAAATAGAATTCATATTAGCTTCAATTCTTTTCAGCATAAACAATATATATTACTCTTAGACTTATAATAGTATGAATAATCCATTTTTATCATTTATCACATCTGGAACATGGTCTAGAATTCCATTAATTAAATTTAAATTTTTAAGCAAATAGAATCCTTAATAATATACAAACTATTCACTCATTAGACAAATAGATAAGTATAATCACATAATAACAAATTCTTTATCAATTATTATTGATGTTATAGTAATTTCATTGTAGAATACAAGTGAAATTCCTTATATTGGATGCATAAAATTATTCATAGATTTCATTTTAGTATGTAGTTTTACATTAGAACACAGATTAATCTGAAAATTAATTCATACTTATAATTTCTATAACAAACAATTAATTCTAAAAAATAAAATTTATTAATTCACTTTATATATATATTATTAGATTTGCTAACAAAATATAATCCTATAAAATGTCATTCTTCTATTTTTTATAAAATAACCCTAAAATTTGTATTTTCTAAAGAGATTTCTATAGGATTTTATCTTTATATATTCATTCTATTTAATTTCATCTATCTTAATTTTGAGTAATTGATCATCTCTTTACACATTTAGTTTTTAATTCTTTCTTTTTTAATAAAAGGTAAATGGGATCTATATATGTTGAATTGATTTCAAAAAAATGAAAATTTGAAAGTTCAAAAGTTGAATCTATTATACCTATTAATTCTAAAATTTATTTATATAGATCTATGAACTTTTGCAATAAGAAGGTAGAAATATATTATACAATATGTATGGAGAAGAAAATTAGAAAAGAAAAAAATTTAATTTTGTCAGTTAGAAATTAAGGATTCTGTAAAATTAATTAAAAAATGCAAAAATACTATGTATAATTTTACACCAAAACAGCAGCACAGCAAAACATTATAAATTTGTAAGATATTTATGAGAAAATTATTATTTTAACATAATTTAATAAATAATCTACCATATCAAAATTTGAAATGTTGTAATAAAAAAATAAAGCTGATACAAATTATATTGATACAGTCTCGAATATGATGAAACTTATTAATGATAATTTAGCATTTTAGAAAATAGATAATATCAAAGAATTCGAAGATAATTTAGAAACTATTTAAGATAAACGAGAATTAATTAGCATTGAATCTATAATTCAAATACTTATTGGATCTGAAAAAGATCAAGATAAAAAGAACTACTTACTTAAGATTATCTTTAAGATATAAACAAAAATCTTAGAATAAAATTAAAGTTTAGATGCTTTTGTTAATGAATTAATTGATAAAAATAATTAAGGAATTGGAATATCTTTTTTGAATAATGATGGAAGTTTTGGTATATATTATTATAATGACTTTAGTAATTACAGATTAAAAGACTAAAGAACTCTTAGAAATATCAAAAGCAGTTAATGATACTAAACATTTATTATAATTTTGTTCTTAAGCTGGATAAAAAACACTATTTAAATAATTTAAAAATTAATCAATTTTACTCGATGAAGATGAATTATCTAAAGAATTTTTTATGACAATATATTCTGAAAGAATGAGAAGAAAGGCATTAAAACATTTAGCTGCAAAAGGTAATGAAAAATTAAAGGAATTTTAATATAATAATTATTAAGATTAACCTAAGAAAAATAAGAAATCAATCAAATTAGATAATAAATTGAATTAACATGAGATAATTAAAATCAAGTATCTTAAAACTGTATAAATAAAATTAACAAAAATGACAATAAATGTTAATTAAGAATTTTAGTAATCAATTTAAGAAAGTAAAGTATTATAAGGTAGTTCGAATTTATCTTATATGGCAGAAAATTCATAATAATATTTCAAAGTGGTAAAATGTGAAATTATAGCATGTCAAGAAATTGAAGATATTTAATCTGAAGAAATATTTAAAGATCATAAATTAAAAGAATATGAAAGTATAATATAAAATTATATTTTTAGGGAAATGGTAAGAAAAGTGTAAGAAAATTAAAGATTAACTTAGATCTATGCAATTCGGAATAGAAATTCATAGCTAAGATTAAAGTATGATTTATTTTAGTGAACCTGAATATGAATTAAGTAATATTAAGATTTGATTCACTACTCGAAAATTTTTTGATTTAAAAACTATATTAAATTTAATTTAAAAAATAAATAATAATTCTTTCTTATTCAAATGTTTTTACATAGATTAAAAAAAAGATTAATAGAAGTAGGTGAATAGAAATTTTTAGAGAAATTAGAAGCAGAATATAAAGAGAAATAATAAAGTAAAAGAAAATTAAAGGATAAAAAAATAAAAACTCTTGATCAATAATTCACAAGAGTTGCTTTCAAATTAGCTTATGTGGGAATAAATTATCATGGTTTGGAATCATAAATAAATTAATAAGATACTATTGAAAGTCATCTATTTAAGGCATTATAAAGAGTTAGGATGATTGATAATCGAGATGATTGCAATTACACAAGAGCAGGTAGGACTGATAAAGGTGTTAGTGCAATAGGAAATGTAATTGCTTTAAATGTTAGAAAAATAGGAAAATCTGATAAGCTTTATGGATAAATTTTGAATAGAGTCTTACCAGAAGATATTCAGATTTTAGATGAATGTATTGTAGATGAAAAATTTAATGCTCGTTATGATTGTACAAAAAGAATATATAAATATTACTTTTACAAAATGGATTATAACATTGAATAAATGTCAGAGGCTATGTAATTATTTTTAGGAGAACATGACTTTAGAAATTTTTGTAAATTAGATGTTATAGCAAATTAAAATTTTGTAAGAACAATCATGAATATTACAATGGAAGAAGTATTTCCAGATAATGCTCCTAGAAATAGCTCATTATTTAAAGATGATGATAGATTACGTTTATATTGTGTAACTATAGAAGGTAATGCATTTTTATGGCATTAAATCAGATACATGATGGCTGTGCTCTTTTTAATAGGTAAAGGAATTGAAAAGTCTAGTGTGATAACTGAATTATTTACTAAATTTGATGGTAAACCAAATTATTAAATGGCCCCTGATTATCCTTTAGTGTTATATAATTGTGAATTCAAATAAGAATTATGGAAACCCAATTTAGATACTCATACAGAATTTACATAAGGGATATATGAAAATTTAAGAGAGACTCTTTCAAAGAAATATATTGAATATTTGCATTATTATTCAATGGGTGCTTATTTACTTAAGGTTCCTGTACCATAATCTAAAATTTAACCAGATGAAAAAAAATCACTCATATTTTAGAAATCAGGAGTTACTGTTGAAGGAGCTGTATAAAATTTAAAAGGGAAAAGAAAAGAAAAATATGATATCAAAATGCAAAAAGTAAAGGAATATTAAGAAAGATGTTTATAAAAAAATAAATCAGAAGTAATTGAAAATTAATGATAAATTATGTTTAATAATTATTTCATGGTATTAATAAATAATATTATTCACTTCTTTAATTCCATGAGTTATAAATGTCTGTATATAATGATTTCTTAAAAATACTAAGAATAAATTAACAATAAGTATATTTCTTTAAATCAGGATATTTTCTCATATGAACTATCGAACTGTTATTTGCTAAAACATATATTTAAGCAATTAACATTGAAATAGCTGAAAAAAATAGTAATATAGTAAATATGTAAACAAAAATCAATCTAAACCAATGAACAGTTAATAATCCAAATTTAAAAGTAACCAAAAAATAAAATTATTATCCTAAATATAATAATACACTTAATGTCAGGATATTTGTATAACAAATAAAACTTATAAAATATTTATAATTATTTTTTCCTACACAATTACCAATGAAGAAACAATGATGATCCATTTCTAATACACAAGTCTAACAAATTTTACAATGATGTGTAGTTATTTCTAATAATATAAAATTAAATAAAACCCCTATGTATTTTGCATCTTTTACATAAGTTTTGTTCTTCAATCATATTTTCATAAGTATAACTTTTACATCTGATTGATAAGTAAAATGACTTTAAGAGAAAAAAATACAAGAAAGTAAAATAAATTGAAAATAATATTCTTCCCATTTCAAAGTAAATAATATATGCAGATTCATATATGACACTCAATTGAAAAGCATAATAAGTAAATCTTAATAGGACAGATACAATCTATCTTGCTTATCTATTTTCTTTATCATCCTCAGGCTCATCAAAAATTTAAGTAACAATAAACATTTATAAAAAATATTAATAAACCAAAATAATTTCATATTTTTAGATCCAAATTGACATCCATTTAATGTTTAAAATAATTCAAAAGTGATATTATACATAAATAAATACATTTATATTTATATTATAATGTATAAAGAATAAATTTGAGTTTTTATCTAATTAAGAAATTCAAATCTTATTAGATATCTTATTTTTATTAAATTTACTACTTATTCATTTATGAATAATATCTAAAATTTTATTTAGAATTATAAGATCTTGAATTGATATGATTGTATTTTTGTGTAGTTTTTATATAAATTCCACATAAAAAACAATAAAAAAATAAATTTTAGCAATAGGAAATATTTATAATTGAATAGATATTATAATTTATAGTCAGAAAATGGTTGAAGATGTAAACTTTTTTATATTGAATTTCTATAAATTAGAATGATTCAATTGAAAATGAGTTTAAATTAAAGAATTTTCTAATTAAATTGTGATAATATATATTGTTAACATACACATATATTTAAAAAGTATAATCATTGTTCATTTTAAGTAGAGATAATAGCCTTTTTTTCTTAATCTATCTCAATAACTTTGAATCTATATTGATAAATATATGTTTTTACTTCTTATATTGGGCTTCTTTAATATCAAACATAGATAAAAATATTTTTTTCTTTTTAGGAGCTTCTTTATTCTCAATATTCTTGTCATCTTATCTCTTAGGTTTCTTTTATTAAGTTAATTTTTCAATTTTTTTGGTTTATTTTAATGATAATTGTTTAACTGGATGTGTTTCCTCTAATTTTGAAATGGATGGAGAGGAAGACTCATTTTCTTCAGTTGTTTTTTATATTATTGGCTATTGTAATGGTTTGGATAGCATTTTAGTTCTATAGTAAAGGTTAGGAGGTAAAATATTACTTTTAAACAAGCATTTGATTGTAAATAAACATTTATTAGAGGAGAAGTTGCTGTTAAAGAATGAGGCTGCTGTCAAAGAGTTGGAAGTTATTCATTAAAACTTAGAATTATTTAAAGTAAAAGATTTAGATTCTCACATTTATATAGTAAAATCATACGTCAGCACGTATTGATTAATTACCTTACAAATCATCTTGCATTATAATAATTAACAAAAATAAATTAATATTACATAATACTTTATAATTAATTTATATTATAATGATAATCCCTATCTTATTTATAAAAATTTATAGAATTATAATGTTTATATAATTTATTATATATATATTAATTTTTTCAATATGATCAAATTTTTGCTTTTGTGAATGAGATTTACACATTTCTATTGTCAATCTCTTCATTATGCATTAGAGCCATAACTTCTAAGGCTTGTTTAAGAGTTTCCATTTTTATTAAACACATAAATTTGAATTATGTATTTAATACCTTTACAGCCTATAAAATTACATAAATTAATACTTAAACAACACCAAATTCAGAAAATACATCCCACATAGTTTCAGTATTTGAAGAAACTTTTTTAAGATTTGAGATGTGTAATACCTAACTTGGTGGCAAAAGAATCATTTTATTATTACAATTAAATCTATCAATAAATATTATTAATTACCTATCTGTATCCTCAGAACCAATATAATAGTCTTATTCTTGATAGAGAGTGTCAAGACCAATCAGCTTATCTATTGAATCTTCTGAAGCATAAGAAATTGAAATGGTACTATCAAAGAATTCTAATTTTTAACAATTCTAGAAAACGAATTATGCATTATCATTTTTAAGATATTTAACAAATGCGAAATTTTTAATTCTAGATTTTGAATAATAAATTATTCTTACTTAATAAGTAAGATTTTATCAATATTTCCGAAGTTACTAAAAATATTATACAATTTTTTGGCATCTATTTCATTTCCCTTTATTCCACTTATACATAAAGTCTATGTAGGTTATATTAATTAGGAAGATTTGATTATCTTTTTATTTAAAGGTAATGTCTTGATGCTTGAAGGCTTATAATCATCTTCATATACAACTTAATATATAGATTAATAATATACTTTCATTTAACGAAGTTTGATATTAACATTTTTATGAACTAATAGTTGAATCACCTATACTCTCAAAAGAGCAATTATCCTAAGATCCTGTTTAAAATTGCTTCTCATCGTAATAATAAGAGCATTTAATAAAATTTGAAGAAAGTTAATCAAGAAATTATTTAGCTAATTTTGCTGCTTCTGAATTACCCATTTCTACAAAAACTTTAAAATCCATTAAGGATTTATTTAAAATTTTTACTTATTGCACAGGTCCATACCTTTTATTAAATAAATTCTTACTGGTTTAATAGTGAACTAAAATATTCTGGATTTAAGTTTTCAGGAGGTGCCAATAAACTTAGCATTAATTAATTAGAATTAGTCCAAGTTTCAGATAGGATAGGTGATGAGCAGCTTAGCATAATTACGAATATTTAATTTATTTTTTAATTATAAACTATCATATTGCTAATAAACTCTGCAAAGATCTTAATTTTATAAACTAAATATCAAATTAATATAATAAATTTTTTTTATTATGACAATATTATGTCTTTTTTTCTAACCATTAGTTTTTTATATAGAACTTATTCATCCAATTATGCTAATCCAATGCTCTAAATTAAATTAATATAAACTTCAAAACAAACTGTAACATATTTACTGGAATGCAATATTTAAATATTAATTCTTATTGAAATTTTTCATCTTAATAAATAAAGAAAGTCCCACAATACTTATTTGGCTTATCACTATAATTGAGTTAGAATATGTATAGCCATTAATTAATATATATATAAGTTTAGATACTTAGATATCAAATAATTATATGCAAATTATTGTTCAAATATGAATCAATGGTTAGCCATTAGGAAATACTGAAGTTTATCTTCTTTTTTTATTTAAGAGGGCTTTTTTGAATTTCATTATATTGCCAACCTACTAAAAGTTTCCAGTTAATTTTCTTTTGTGTGCTATCTTATTAAATTTCATGACATATAAGAAAGGATAAAGCATGTACCTTATTAATTCTTTAAAATAACTTTTATAAACTTCTCTTTTCTTTTTTATAACTTATTCAACATTAAATTCTGGGAAATAGTGCTAAAAGCTTTTTATATGATCAAAATCTTTAACTGGAAGACAATTATACTTTAGATATAGCATTTCTAAGTCTTAGTTCATATATCCATCTTTTTTTGATTTCAAATATAGAGCATTAATATTCTAAATCTATTCTTCCTCAATCATATTGGGTTATATGGTTTTTAACATAAAAGATTTTTCTAATTCAGATTATTTTGGTTTAATCACTCCCAAAAATTAGAAATTAGATTATCCAATATTAGAATTACCTAATTTTTGGATGGGTGATCTACCATTATTTTCATGAATTGATTTTCGTTTAATTCCAAATTCTTAAAATTCATCTTCAAAAATAGATTATTTCCTTTGAATTTGCATATTAACTTAACTATCAGAAAGTTGTTTTTTTAGTTAATCTTAGATTATTTATTGTTTTTCGCTTTAAAAATAAGCAACATACTCTTAAATTAATTCCATCTCAGAAAGAGATTTGAAATAATTTCTAACACGATTCCGAATAATAAAAACTCTATCATTTTATTTAGGAAAACAATGTTTCTTAATAATACCTTCTCTATCATATTTATAAGAAACTAAAGGACAATAATTTGTGGAATGGCCATGTGTGCTGCACCATTTACATTCATATAAATATCCATATTATTCACTGCTCAATTTCAATTTTAATTAAGAAAACTTTTCATGATCAATTTAATGAGCTTTTAAAATCTTATTAAAAATGTCTTTCTAAATGATTAATAATGATACATAACCAATAGCTTTATAAGGAATTGATGTTTATGTATCAGTAGCATATTCATACTCTTAGATGAATTATCCTTCTTTAATTTCTGTCATTAAGAATTATAATTAGCCAGATTCCAAATAGCATAAACAAGGATCTTCCTTCATCGAAAAAGTATTATGAGGTTATATAATTACTCTTTTGATATGTGAACTTACAGATCTCTTAAATTCATTTGAAAAATGTTGTAAAAGTTAACTTTTTTCAATGAAATTTTTACGACCTAATAATTCTAATTCCTATTTAAGTTCATTTGATAATTCATTTATTAATTTATCTTCTTAA